TTTTGTACCCTGCGTCACGGCACATGTGTAGCAGTGCAGACAAAGAGGATGGAGACAGACATGCTATGTGGAGTAATGACCAAGCTGAAGCAGGTGCAAAAATCAGCAAATGACGTGGCAATTCCCACTAAAGCTTTTTGTACCCTGCGTCGCAGCACATGTGTAGCAGTGCAGACAAAGAGGATGGAGACAGACATGTTATGTGGAGTAATGACCAAGCTGAAGCAGGTGCAGAAGTCAGCAAATGACGTGGCAATTCCCACTAAATAAGCTTTTCGTACGCTGCGTCACGGCACATGTGTAGCAGTGCAGACAAAGAGGATGGAGACAGACATGTTATGTGGAGTAATGTCCAAGCTGAAGCAGGTGCAAAAATCAGCAAAGGACGTGGCAATTCCCACTAAATAAGCTTTTTGTACCCTGCGTCGCAGCACATGTGTAGCAGTGCAGACAAAGAGGATGGAGACAGACATGTTATGTGGAGGAATGACCAAGCTGAAGCAGGTGCAGAAGTCAGCAAATGACGTGGCAATTCCCACTAAATAAGCTTTTCGTACCCTGCGTCACGGCACATGTGTAGCAGTGCAGACAAAGAGGATGGAGACAGACATGCTATGTGGAGTAATGACCAAGCTGAAGCAGGTGCAAAAATCAGCAAATGACGTGGCAATTCCCCCTAAATAAGCTTTTTGTACCCTGCGTCGCAGCACATGTGTAGCAGTGCAGACAAAGAGGATGGAGACAGACATGTTATGTGGAGTAATGACCAAGCTGAAGCAGGTGCAGAAGTCAGCAAATGACGTGGCAATTCCCACTAAATAAGCTTTTCGTACCCTGCGTCACGGCACATGTGTAGCAGTGCAGACAAAGAGGATGGAGACAGACATGTTATGTGGAGTAATGTCCAAGCTGAAGCAGGTGCACAAATCAGCAAATGACGTGGCAATTCCCACTAAATAAGCTTTTTGTACCCTGCGTCACGGCACATGTGTAGCAGTGCAGACAAAGAGGATGGAGACAGACATGCTATGTGGAGTAATGACCAAGCTGAAGCAGGTGCAAAAATCAGCAAATGACGTGGCAATTCCCACTAAATAAGCTTTTTGTACCCTGCGTCGCGCACATGTGTAGCAGTGCAGACAAAGAGGATGGAGACAGACATGTTATGTGGAGTAATGACCAAGCTGAAGCAGGTGCAGAAGTCAGCAAATGACGTGGCAATTCCCACTAAATAAGCTTTTCGTTCCCTGCGTCACGGCACATGTGTAGCAGTGCAGACAAAGAGGATGGAGACAGACATGTTATGTGGAGTAATGTCCAAGCTGAAGCAGGTGCAAAAATCAGCACATGACGTGGCAATTCCCACTAAATAAGCTTTTCGTACCCTGCGTCACGGCACATGTGTAGCAGTGCATACAAAGAGGATGGAGACAGACATGCTATGTGGAGTAATGAGACAGACATGCTATGTGGAGTATGACCAAGCTGAAGCAGGTGCAAAAATCAGCAAATGACGTGGCAATTCCCACTAAATAAGCTTTTCGTACCCTTCAGGAGGAACAAAGTTTATGCTTCTTGAAAGCTTTACAAGACATCCATGTCGGTCAACCGCGGATCGCATTTTCAAGTCCGTTTTGTGTGGCAGGTGTGGGACGGTCAATTATCACCCTCTTTTAAATATATAAGATTTTAAAGCTTTTGGAGGGTGGAAATGCGACCGGGGTACGACAAAGCTCCATGCTAGGATTCTACGGGGAAAGGGTGTGCAGAAGAAGAAGCCAAACATGTTCACTGTGGGAAGCTCAACAAGCGCAACTTTTGTCCTACCAGTGCGTCACGGCACATGTGTAGCAGTGCAGACAAAGAGGATGGAGACAGACATGTTATGTGGAGTAATGACCAAGCTGAAGCAGGTGCAAAAATCAGCAAATGACGTGGCAATTCCCACTAAATAAGCTTTTTGTACCCTGCGTCACGGCACATGTGTAGCAGTGCAGACAAAGAGGATGGAGACAGACATGTTATGTCTGGTGGAGTAATGTCCAAGCTGAAGCAGGTGCAAAAATCAGCAAATGAATTCCCACTAAATAAGCTTTTCGTACCCTTCAGGAGGAACAAAGTTTATGCTTCTTGAAAGCTTTACAAGACATCCATGTCGGTCAACCGCGGATCGCATTTTCAAGTCCGTTTTGTGTGGCAGGTGTGGGACGGTCAATTATCACCTCTTTTAAATATATAAGATTTTAAAGCTTTTGGAGGGTGGAAATGCGACCGGGGTACGACAAAGCTCCATGCTAGGATTCTACGGGGAAAGGGTGTGCAGAAGAAGAAGCCAAACATGTTCACTGTGGGAAGCTCAACAAGCGCAACTTTTGTCCTACCAGTGCGTCACGGCACATGTGTAGCAGTGCAGACAAAGAGGATGGAGACAGACATGTTATGTGGAGTAATGTCCAAGCTGAAGCAGGTGCAAAAATCAGCAAAGGACGTGGCAATTCCCACTAAATAAGCTTTTTGTACCCTGCGTCACGGCACATGTGTAGCAGTGCAGACAAAGAGGATGGAGACAGACATGCTATGTGGAGTAATGACCAAGCTGAAGCAGGTGCAAAAATCAGCAAATGACGTGGCAATTCCCACTAAATAAGCTTTTTGTACCCTGCGTCACAGCACATGTGTAGCAGCGCAGACAAAGAGGATGGAGACAGACATGTTATGTGGAGTAATGACCAAGCATGACCAAGCATGACCAAGCTGAAGCAGGTGCAAAAATCAGCAAATGACGCGGCAATTCCCACTAAATAAGCTTTTTGTACCCTGCGTCACGGCACATGTGTAGCAGTGCATACAAAGAGGATGGAGACAGACATGCTATGTGGAGTAATGACCAAGCATGACCAAGCTGAAGCAGCTGCAAAAATCAGCAAATGACGCGGCAATTCCCACTAAATAAGCTTTTTGTACCCTTCAGGAGGAGCAAAGTTTATGCTTCTTGGAAGCTTTACAAAACATCCATTTCGGTCAACCGCGGATCACATTTTCAAGTCCGTTTTGTGTGGCAGGTGTGGGACGGTCAATTATCACCCTCTTTTAAATATATAAGATTTTAAAGCTTTTGGAGGGTGGAAATGCGACCGGGGTACGACAAAGCTCCATGCTAGGATTCTACGGGGAAAGGGTGTGCAGAAGAAGAAGCCAAACATGTTCACTGTGGGAAGCTCAACAAGCGCAACTTTTGTCCTACCAGTGTATGTTGACTATCATGTCATCCTATCATCATCTGTCATCATATCATCCGCGCATCTTGCACATAGGACCTATACGAAGGGTGACCTTGAAAGGCTGATTCTGGGAAGCCACCAACATCTCAGGATCTTGTGAATCTTGTGTCCTCCCATCTGGCCTGGGAATCCCCACTTGCCCTTGGCCTTTGCCGCCTTGATCAATGTCTCCAAGCCACTGCAGGGTTTCGCTCATCGAAGTACTTGGCCACCAGCCCTGGAGTTTCAGAATTTCTTGGGGAAACATATATGAAACTGTACAGAAACAAATAAATTAACAACAAACATTTTGGGAGATGATCCATACAGGTGGGAAGTCAACAAAAACCCGCAACTTCACAGCTTGGACCCTTCCGATCTGAGATGTCTGGGCTCAGACTTCACACATCTTCACACCCTCTGAACTTGACAGGTACAAATGGATACGAATGGATCAGGATCTGGAAAATGTGTTTTCCCGATATTTTTTTCTTGATGGTCTCCTACTGGAGTTCCATGTCAAATTCAGGGCGGCAAAATTCCCAAGATACCCTTCACTTAACTCTCTTAACTGACCATACTGACCCTGAAATTTGAAGATACTCACTCAACTGATCATACCTGCCATAGCTCTGTATAAAAATGGGTCATTCTATGCCATCTTTGACCCGGGACCCATCCTTCATGGCTTCCATGGCACTCGGAAGCCCCTAACCGGTCGCCTGAGTCACGGTCCAAGCCCAAGGTGAGCTGCGTGAGGTCGTTGCTCCCAATGGAGAAGCCATCCTCGGCCGCGGTTCACCGGGCCGGGATCCCAAAAAATCTGGGTGATGTGAAAATTTGTGGATTTTGATTCATTCATCTTAACTTTATGTATACCTTACAAATCCAAAACCGAAGTTTTTCTAGGGTTTGCTCAAATACCCGGGGTTTACACACAAAACCCGAGGTTTTCCAAAACCTCATAATTTTGGAAGTCTGATTGTTGTTTTGAATTCCATGCTGGATCAAGTCCGCATGCTGATGCGTTTTTTTTCCTGGCAAAACTCACCGTTTTTGCATGTCAGACACAGTTGGCCATGAGCTGGCTGGCACAACCACGCTTGCCCCATCCACTTTCCAAAAGGTTATGTGTTTTCTGCCGATGCCCCTTCACAAATCACGTTCAAACCGTTGAAAATCCAGTGAAATCTCAACCATCTAAACCCGTACAAAAAGTACGGGTTAGTACGGGTTTAGTACGGGTTCAGTACGGGTTTAAAAAACCCGAGGTTTTTGCAAAGACCTAGGGTTTTCCCAGAAATACTACGGGTTAGTACGGGTGTACTACGGGTTTAGTACGGGTTGAGTACGGGTTTGAACAAACCCGAACTTTTCCCCATCAAAAACAAATAAATTAAGATAACATTGGTATATAACTATCTCCTGAACTTGAACGGTAATGGCATGTATGGGTTTGGTAGTTGGGTTACTGTATATTTTTCAATGATCACCCCATTAGTTGTCTCCAATCCAAAAAACGAACCATGTTGATATATCGTGCTACATTCCAGTGAGGAAACCCACAAAAGGCTACAAAAATGACACCCGAACATTATCAGAAGTGGTTTGCCGAGGCCTGAGCAGGGGGCAAGGGAGAAACCCGAGGTTTTCTAACTAAACCCGAGGTTTTCCATGAATTCCTGGAATACCCGAGGTTTATATTTAAACCCTAAGAAAAGTCAGGGTTAAGGTTTACTAGGTATATGTATATATATATATATATATCATATCATATCATAATATTATATGACTCCGGCATATTATGATATTTATGATAGATTGGAAGTAATTTCGCTGACATATTTGTTCTAAGAAACGATCGAAAGCGACTAGCACTGTTAGCACAATGTCATAAATCAGCCCTCAAGGAGATGGTTAAGAGTTGTGTATAGCGGGCTATCTGAGTTGCGAGATACAAGTGGGAACTTCCAACTAGCTGCTGGCTGGTCTTGGACATTCGGGATTGGTGAATTATATACGTTCAGTTGCAGTGATTCCACTTCCTAGCAGAGCCTCTACACCCACGACAGCAAAATCATAAAATCATCCAAAGCCTACTGGTTGGATCCTCATCTTTGGTGGTCATTATGAACCTTTTTCAGAAGTTAACTCATCATTTTGCTCGGTCAAACCCTAAGTGGAGTGGTCTCTGTGTAAATGTCATGTCTACACATGTCTGCTACTCGTTAGTCTTGTTACTATATAAATGAACTCCCGTGACATGCAAAACATATTGATACAAGTTGGTACTGCCAAGATGCAAAGTACTCCAGGAACTCCTCCGCCAAAAAAAAAGTGGGCAGCTCTGCCATCATGTTCACCTCCGCTGGGATGATCGGTGACTCATCACGGTATCACTTGGACACCTCCTCACCAGAGTATCTGTCCAATGTTGGCTGTCCAATCAGAATCTTATAGGATAGTTGTATATATATATATCGAAATTTTACATAGATAGATGTTGACCACCTGTCTGCATATTAATATAATTTAATAGTATTATTAATTATATGTAGGCTTTATATCCATCAGGCCACTAGAAAAACCCTCTGGCCTTGAGCCCATCTTCACCTCGCTTCAGACCGTTCTTCTCCTGAAAGCTGTGCGCAGGTGGAAAAATGGATCGAATCAACAAACAACGAATTATAGCCTTTTGACAATTGAATGAACATGAATGATCCAAAATCAATAATCACTTGAAGATTTGATATCTAAATTTACGTCCAATGGGGCTTTTATTTCTTTTTTGAAAAGTTGACTTAGTTCATGGAAATCGGATCTTTTTGATACCCTTGAGCTGTATTGAAACCTGCCCGTTCACCAGCCGAGACGCCAGCACTTCATTGACGTCCTTGGCCATCGATGCGGACGAAGGGAATAATCATCTCCACATTCTTCAGACCCTCCACGGACCATCTTCACAGCCTGCTCTGTCTAACGAATGAATTTTTTTGGGATCAACTTGGGGGTTAGCCATGGAATCCGATGAACATGATGGAACTATATTTTGGGGGTGGGCACATGAGACCACCCACAAGAATTTGATGGGAAAACATGGAAAAACATGGAAAAACAACAAACCCTTCAAGGCCTTTCAGGCGCTTCGAAGTAGCGATTTCTTTTCGGATTTCCCAAGCGTTGACCATCCAACAAAACACCCTTTCTGAAATTAAAGATGGAACCATCTTGGAGAACTAAGAGCAAAATAACTGCGGAGACAGTTGCCCCTTTCAGATCCTTTCAGTATCTGTCAGTGGTGGCACAAGTAAAAAGGATTTTGATGAAATATTTCAGATGCTGTTTGTCACCTGAAGTGGTGAAGTGAATTAGTTTGCATGTCGAATGCATTTTGCTCGGAAACTTTGGCAGAAACCGGTGATGGACCAGCGCAATCTCCTCAGACTCAGAAGCAGGTGGCTTGGCCAACTGCCGTGCTGAATCAACTAGAATCTCAGGGTGAAAAGTTAAAGTTGGTAACTTTTTCATCACCGACTTTTCCATTTCAGTGGTGGCACAGGTAAATCAAATGAGGATTTGCACATGCCCTGTCCGCGCGTCAGCTGAACTGAGTTTGTTGGTCGAATTGCCAGTCTGTGCCACCGAGTCATCGGATTGATTCATTTTGCTGTGAAACTTTGGCAGAAACCGGTAAGGGACCAACGCAGTCTCCTCCCAGAAGTGGCTTGGCCAACTGCCCTGGATCAATGCTGGACCAAATAGAATCCAAAGCGGAAAAGTCAATGTATTATCTACACCACCTACTGAAGCCACTGGGAGATGTCCACTTCCACCTCTGTGTACGCATAGCCCTTCCGTTCAAGCCATGCTACTTCGGCCTTCTGTGAATTCCCAAGACCTTCAGATGCCTCCATGAAGTGGCGTTCTTCCTCTGGAAGCCACGCCAAAAAGAGCCGTTGCACCTCGCGCGAGTACTGCGAGGAAGAGTCTCCACGTGGGTCTTTCGAAAGGTCTTCAATCCCTTCGTGGCATGCGTTGGAAAATGCTTGCGAATGGAAGAAGTCCTGTTTCTTGGCTAGAATGGCATCTCGCCTCAAATGCTCTGCACCAGCCGTTGAGAAATCCTGAACTTTCCCTTTACCCTTCATGCCCTTGAAGAAGTAAACCTCCATTTCCGCGCCTTCCCCATGCGCTCTTTCAATGTTTGCAATCCACTTTGTCCACCAACGGCAACCCCACGGCTTTGGCTCCCCATAAAGGGGAACGCACCAGCAGCTGCCCTGTAGCCTTTCCTCTTCCGGGATGACGTCGTGGCTGCCGAAATCCTTTGAACCCTTGGGCAGGAAGACCACTGCTGCACTAATGTCGCCACTGCGGCTGCCTGTGACCAGGGCGTCCCAAGCAGACTCGTACTTGCCTGGCCATGAGCACACACATCTGCCGGTACCTGGACGAACTTTGCCGTGAAACACTATGGTCCGATTGGAAACTGACTTCTTCTCAGACCTCTCAGCATCTTTGATAGCCTCCTCGAAGGAGCCGCCCCAGCACGCCAGACCCGCCCAAGTAGACATGCAACAGCACGGCAGCCCAGCTGCCAGCACGGTCCACCAGAATCCAGCCATCACATACCTCACAATGGCTATCGTCACAGTAACGCTGCCCAGGAAGCAACAGCCGAAGGGTGCATAATATGCCAACACTTTCTGACGTGGACCTGGACATCTGAGACTAGCAGTCTGAGCAGTGAAGCTGCAACAGGACAAAACAGCCAGCGACAGCACCAGGCCCAAGCACAGCACCGCTGCGGAGTCAACGTCCTCGGGGTCCAAACACGTCAATAGCACCAGGACGACCAAGAACACTGCTGTGCAGAGGAAAAACAGGGGGAAGCAGCCATAACCAATAATCAGGTGTAGAATTTCAAGTTGCCCTTCCATTCTCTTTTTCCGTTCCTGCTGCAGGGACTTCTCTCGATCCACCTCCTCCCGATCCTTTTGCAAGAAATCAAAGACCTCAATGCCGAAAAAACCGAAACTCTCCGATGCACGAAGCGTCGAGCTGTCTTCGACGCGCCGAGTCCCGAAGATGCTGGGGGAATCCCTGCAGTGAACTTTCATCAGCTTGTCAGATGCTCGGGTGATGTCGAAGCTCCAACTTTTCCGTGGGTAGAGCACCTTCAACTCTTGGTCCAACGTCACCTCAATGGCTGCTCCCAAGTCGTTCTCAAGCACCACGATGCCATCTTCAGGGCCATCTGGCTCTTTGGCATCTGGAATTCCAGGTAATTCCATGGCGTCGCGGAAGGAACTGATGCTGCTTTGCCCAACGGCAATGTAATGACAAAAAATTAGCTAGTCTATTAAAACTTATTTTTCATTTTCTCTCCAATCTGTGTGTCCTTTAGCCTGTGGTACTCAGTGTGTGTGTGTGTGACCTAAACCCGAACAAGAAAAGGCGGGTGGAAATCTGACCTTTTTTCTGTCACAAGTCGTTGCATGGACAATGCTGAATTTGAAGCAGAAAAACCCTTGGAGTCACCTGGATTGGAGTTCAGATGATTCAGCCTCAACGGAGAGAACGCCCCAGTTTCAGACACAGCATGCCACGACATGAGGTCAGCTCAACGGAACCGTCCCTGCCCCACCTCCAATTCTGTGGCGAAGAAGGCATCCGTCCACAGCGGAAACCGATCATGGGCTTCTCGTCTTCGGGTTCATTTTTCTCGCCACCAGGCTCTTGTACCTAGAACCATCAGAAAAGCATGAAAAACACATCAAACATGGTTTAGAAAGATTGATGGTTGTTGGCCTGCTGTTGAGATAGTCAATTTTTGGCATTTGTGTGCATGTGTTCCATTCTTGACTTTCTTGAGAGATAAAATGTTGGGATATATCAAACCTGGTGTTTGGAGCCCAGAATCAACATCAATTCACCGCTATCAGCCATAACTATCCATAACCCATTTCTTCTCCATTTGTTGCATCCCACCCAAAGTGTTTTGGGGAGTTCCCGATATTTCCTGATCTTTGCCAGGCTGCTCCGTGACAGGTTGTGGGTGCCCTGGGTGCCCTGGGTGCCCTGGGTGCCCTGGGTGCCCTGGGTGCCCTGGGTGCCTGGCAGTCGAATCACTGGCTCTGGTAACATCTGGTAACGTGCTATGGGCCATGCTATGGGCTAGACACATAGAAACCTCCAAATCATATCAAATTCTACGTTGGATATTTTATATAGATAACACGAGCAACGCAAATATCTGTGGTGCACACTTTGGTACACTCAGACGGATAGGTATGGAAGCACACATTGCTTCCTATCCAGAATGAAGATTGCCGAGATTCTGCACCAATGTACACTTGATATTACTTGATTCCTGACACGTCCAGGATCAGACTCACACTTCACAGGTTGCACAACCAGGATGATCTGTTATCATTTGCTCTTAACCTGTACCTGTCTCTCATCAACAAATTATCAATCTTTACTCCTTTCCATTCCTTTCCCATTTTTCGCAGCAATTTCCAAAATTTTGCATAGCCCACCACAATGTTGACAAATCTCTGCAAAATCTCTGCAATTACAAGTCTCGATTTGTAAGATGAACCATGTCTGGTCTGGGTCAAGCTTCGGTTTTGTGGGTCATCCTACTTTTTCATTGTTCAATCCTCATGTTCCTATGTTTTCCTATGATTTCATGATAATTTACCATGATTTCCCTATGGTTTTCCCATAGTTTCCATGTTTCGCGTTTGCGTCGCCTGCGCCACGACATCTTTCTGTGGACCGCCATGGTGCCTCTGGTGATGTGGGAACTTGTAATGGGTGGCTATGAATCTTTGACCAGCAAATACGGGGATTTCACGAGCAAAACGCTACTATTTCTACAGATTGCTTCTTTTTGTTCAATCAAATTTTGTGGAGGTATGGATGTTTTAACTTTAATTAACCAACTATTGGGATTTCTATGGGTTTCCGACCACCTAGACTTGGGTAAAAGACGCAAGGAACAGGGTTGAAACCAGTGGCAGGCGATCTTCGAGATTCTTGGTTTTGTTTTATGATTCGTGTTTAACCACGAAATCATGGAATGAACCACCAAAAGGACCAAAAGTGAGACCTTTGATGAGAGAATCGGATTTAAATAACTCCTGTTCAAAGAACATGTTGAGCCCGGTTGCAATGGTTGAAGCAGCAAATAGTGGCATTTAAGGGTACTGATTTTAACGAGGAAATGGAGATGGTCTGATCTCCTTTGGTGATTTATGGAGATGTTTGCTCCTTTCAGGTGGACTGTGTCAACGATGCAGCACATGTATGTGGTTGCTCTGAATGTTAAAAATAGAAGGGGTTCCAGGGTTCCAGGTAGGACACAAGTAGCAAACTCATCGAGCTGCACTACGGAACATGGCCGTTGCCAAATCCAGAGGATTTTTGTGTTTTCACAGGTGAAAAGCACCACAAAGATCGATTCGAAAGGTCCCCAGATGTAAACAGAACAGTCAACCCATGTCTTGATGATTAACTGATTAACTTATCTTTCCATCTGTCAGGGGACCCCTAAAGAATCCTATGTAAGTCCTATCCAGCCCCAACGGGGGCGAGTCTCACCTCTGCACCACGATCCAACGCGCAGATTTCCCAACTTTCGCGGCCGATGGATTTCCGAACTTCGAGCCAAAATAATGGTCCGGCAACGAAAAATCTGCGGAAACACAACTTCAGGCTCGTTGGTTGCCCTATTCGCGACCATTTTGGGCATGGCAGCAGGTCGTAGTTCCACCCCATCCGCAGCGCAGACTGGCAGAAGTTTTGATCCATCCATCTATCGCGGTAAATCGAGAGCATCGCTCAAGACATTTGCAGGTCAGACTCCAAATTGACATCAGCGCCTTGCATTGCTGGAGAGGTATGTAGCATTATGTAGCCATTTACACTAGGAATGTGAAAGTTGAACCACAATCCGATTTCAAAGACTTCCGCACACAATAGAGGACGCTATTTGGAGTCCAAGAGGCTCATAAGGCTGCCCAAGGTAGCCGCCTCTGAACACCAATTGAATTTAATTTTTGTGACCAACAGATTAAAATCACATCATCTTTGAGCTGGTAAAAGCATGAGATTTCTGAGATCAGCAAGCTGAGACTGCTTGGGCTGCCTGGCACCTGTGAACTCTCAAAAGGGTCCAGGGTACCGATGAAGCATGGCCTTGAGGATCGAAAATCAAGCCACGCACGCAAGAATCGATAGCCCACTGGGCTGAAAACTGGGCAGGTGCTTAGCACGGGCAAGAGGTGGCAAGAGGCTGGGGCGAAACTGTGGCCCGGGTGCTGCAAGCATCAACTAACATCAACTGTGGGGTTATAATTGGGTACTTGTATATGGGATTATGTCCCCATTTATGAAGGTTTAATCGTGGGATACCCAGGGAAATTTCCATCCATTGGTAAATTGGCCGAAATTCCATTCGCACATCTGGCAGCATCACGGACAGCTTTGCCGGTGTCGGCGCTTTCAAGCTAATCCCAAAAGCACCAGGTGGTTGGATTTATGATGTCTTGGATGACTGGTGTTGGATCTTTTCTTTCAGACTCCAGGTCTCAATTGGCGTAGCTTGATGTAGCTTGAAACACATCATCCCCGTGGCAGTCCATTGCTCCATAGTCATCTTGAGCCGACTGGAGATGGACAGAGATCTGGACCACCAGGGAGCGCGAAGACCGGACCTGTCCCTCACTTTGCCAAGAACTGCCAGGTTGGAATGACCTGGAAACATATCGCGGATGAAAATGGGTGAGGCATAACTATTCCCAAAGCTGAACTGCCCATTTTTTTCGTTGACTCCTGGGTCTTGTGGTTGTCATCCTGAAATTTCTTATGATTCCTTATCATCTTCATGCACATGGATATTTTATTGTTCCAATCGCCATCTTGCTGCGGAAATAAACCATTGCATAAACAAGATAAGAAAGTGTTCCTGGCTGAGCGTGGGATGATCAACTCATTGCTTCAAAAATCTTCACGGTTCCTCACTGGTTCAAACGACATCTGTTGGCAAAGCCCCACTTGTTGAACACCAAATATGTTTTTGCTTCAACCACCTTGTTGATGATTCAATCCGAATTTCTGATGCTTCAATCATGTTCAACCATCATTTGAGGCTTAAGTCCCACTGATGAAAAATCCAACAGTTTAACAGTTTTTAACAGTCAACTCCCCATCCTTATCATCCTTGTTGGGGGCACGAGCTGATTCCCGAAGCCCCAGCAGGTTCGATGAGCTGCCGAGTCGGGGTTCAACGACACGGAGTCGATGCCCTGCTCCATGAGCCACTTCGCCAGGTCCGGGTGATCCGAGGGACCCTGGCCGCAGATGCCCACGTACCTGGGAGGAGTGGAGCATGTGCCGCATGCCAGGGCAGTGTGTGTTGGTGATGTTGACATATGTTGACTATTCATGTCATCCTACCAGTAGTACCGCACAAGCCGGTGGCGGAAGTTTCAGAAATAGGAAGCCTATAGGAGAGGTTGCCTGTTGTGAATCACGGATGGCAGAGCGAATCCACTGATGGACCGAAAGGTGGTTGGAGTTGTGTTTTTTGGAGTGGTTGCATTGGTTGCAGTGGTCACCTCACCGAGAACTGCTGGATTTAGTGTGGTGTAGTGCAGTTGTAGTTGTAGGTGTAGGTGTAGCTGTAGTGTAGCGGAGTTGTAGTTGTAAGTTGCAGCTGTAATGTAGTGTAATTAGTGTAGTGTAGTTGCAGTTGCAGTTGTAATTGTAGTGTGGTGTAATTAGTGTAGTGTATTGTAGTGTGCTGCAGTGTTGCGTACTGGTGTAAAGTAGTGTAGTTGTAGTTGTAGTGTAGTGTCGTGTAATGTAGTGGTAGTTGCAGTTGTAGTGTAATGTAATGTAATTAGTGTAGTGTAGTGTTGTGTAATGTAGTGTAGTTGTAGTAGTATTTGTATTTGTAGCTGTAACTTACTGCAGTTTAATTAGTGTATTGTAGTGCAACATAGCGTAGCTGTAATTGTAATTGTAGCTGTGGTAGTAGTTGTAGTAGTAGTTGTTGTTGTTGCTGTAGTAGTACTAGTACTAGTACTAGTACTAGTACTAGTAGTAGTAGTAGTAGTAGTAGTAGTAATAGTAGTAGTAGTAGTAGTACACTGTTTGAACATCTCAACTTCTAACAGTGCTCTGGAGCTGAGGTGTTTTGTACATTTTGACTTGGAAATGTGCTTCGCGCCACAACGGCGTGCACTTTTTCGACATCTCAACTTCCAAGAGTGGTCAGAACGTGAGGTGTTTTTAGCTTTTTCAGTTGCAAATGTGCTTCGCGCCACAACGAAGTGCAATTTTTCATCTGGCTCCGCACCTGCCGCTTTAGCGAGCCTACTTTTCGACCCTCCGGAACCACAAATCATTGGAAAAACGCAGTGTTTCGCGACTTTCCTACCTTTTCGGGCACCTGGATCTTCTTTCTTCTGAGGCTTTCTCTTTTTGATCTTCTTTCTTCTTCTCTTCTCTTCTCTGACTCTTCCCATCTCTGCTTTTCATCTGTCCATATTGTCGGAAGTTTGACTTCTAAACTTCCTTTGATCATCACCTATCATCACATCATCCGTGCATCTTGCACATAGGACCTAATATACAACAATTGCGGTGAACTATCAAGAAATGACGAGGGGTGATCTTGGAAGGCCCCTGCTGAGCCTGGGAACCCACCAACATCTCAGGATCTTGTGAATCTTGTGCCATCATCCACCCATCTGGCCACTTGGGGATCCCCACTTGCCCTTGGCCTTTGCCGCCTTGATCAACGTCTCCAAGCCCTTCATCACTGCAGGGTTTCGCTCATCGAAGTACTGGGCTACCAGCCCTGGCCGGAGTTTCAGAATTTCCCGGGGAAACATATATGAAACTGTACGGAAACAATTAACAACAAACATTTTGGGAGATGATACAGGAAGTCAACAAAAACCCGCAACTTCACAGCTTCGATCCTTCCGATCTGAGATGTCTAGTTTGGTCTCAGACTTCAAGCGGATACAAATGGATCAGGATCTGCAAAATGCGTTTTCCCGATATTTTTTCCTGGAGATAGCCTCCTAGAGTTCCATGTCAAATTCAAGGCGGCGAAATTCCCAAGATACCCGTCACTTAACTATCTTAACTGACTGACCATACTGACCCTGAAATTTGAAGATACTCACTCAACTGATCATAGCTCTGAATAAAAATTGCTCATTTTTTGCCATCTTTGACCCGGGACCCATCCTTCATGGCTTCCATGGCATTCCGAAGCCCCTAACCGGTCGCCTGAGTCACGGTCCAAGCCCAAGGTGAGCTGCGTGAGGTCGTTGCTCCCAATGGAGAAGCCATCCTCGGCGGAAACGCAACGTTTCCCGGCAATCCCAAGGAATCCTGGAGATGTTTTCTTGATACGAAAATTTCTGGATGTTGATTCATTCATCTTAATTATATCATATTACAATATGGTATCACTCCGGTAGATTATGATATTTATGATAGATTCGAAGTCATATCAGTAAGAGACATATTTGTTATAAGAAATGATCTAAAGTATCTAAAGTGACTAGTGCTGCTTGCACAATGTCATAAATATGTCATAAATCAGCCCTTAAGGGGATGGTTTACTAGGCAAAATTGGGGATGGTTACAAGTTGTGTATAGCCGGCAGAGTTGTGAGATACAAGTGGGAACTTCAATCTAGCTGCTGGTCTTGGGCATTCGTTGGTGAACTACGTTCAGTTGCAGTGATTCCACTTCCTAGCAGCCCCATCTTTTGTGGTCATTAAGAACCTTTTCAGAAGTTAAATCCTCCTTTTGCTTGGTCAAACCCTAAGTTGGAGTGGTCTCTGAGTAAATGTCATGTCTGCCGAGTCATACCACATTTCTGCTACCTGTTACTAAATAATGCTATATAAATGAACTCCCGTGACATGCAAAACATATTGGTACAAGTTGGTACTGACAAGATGCAAAGTACTCCAGGAACTCCTCCGCCAAAAACACGTTGCTGGGTAGTTCTGCCATCATGTTCACCTCCAAAACCGGGATGATCGGTGAATCATCACGGTATCACTTGGGTATCAGCAGTATCAAATGATCAAAAATTGTTTAGGGATATCACCTCGCCACTAGATTATCTGTCCAATGTTGGCTGTCCAATCAGAATCGAAAAAAGATAGTTGTATATTATATATCGAAAAATTACACAGATGTTGACCCACTGTCTATATATATATTATAATATATATATATATATCGGCCGACCCCTGCCGACAGGGGGAGCGCGTCAGAGAGCTGTGCCAGACGAAAGCCTAGCAAGCTGGCAGCCAGCAGTGCAAGCTCTAAAATCCGGGTGCCGGCCAACGGGCCAGCCCGTGTTCTTGCCGGAGGCCTTCGGTGGTAGCCGAAGGTTATAGGCGCTGCGCACCCTGCCGCCCACCCACCCCGTGTTCACCCCGGGCCTACTCCGTGTCAACTGAAGTCCTGTAATTTACAATGTATTTTAGCTTGCGGGGTAAAAAAAAAACAATGTTTACAGTGTTTCGGGCCCTTCAACGGCAAGGAATTTCATCTTGGGGATGTTAAAAAACATCGGTTTCTACATGGTTTTGGGCTCCAGGAGGGAGCCCTGGGCGGAAAAAATGGCATCTTAAGATCGTTTCAACATAGATGGCCCAGACATGGCCCCAACATCGCTCCCAAGAGGGCTCAACATGGGCCAACGTAGGCCCAACATAGGCCAACATGGGCCCAACAAAGGCCCGACATGGGCCCAAGATGGGCCCAACATAGCCCAACATAGGCCCAACTTGGGCCAACATAGCCCAAGATGGGCCCAAGATGGCTCAACATGGGCCCGACTTGGCCCAACATGGGCACAACCTGCGCTCAACATAGGCCCAGACAGCTTCCATACAGGCAAGCACTGCGCATTGTGCCTGCCTCAGTTCTTAACATAGCCCTCCCTGGGTTTGCGCGGAGAATCTCGGCCCAATCTTCCCACACCATACGCCAAACGTCGTTGCTTGGCCGGCCCCCGGCTGTCAGGCGCAAGCCTTTAAATTATATTATAGGCATTACTGTATATGCATCAGGCCAATAGAAAAACCCTCCGGCCTTGAGCCCATCTTCACCTCGCTTCAGACCGTTCTTCTCCTGAAGGCTTTGCACAGGTGGAAAAATAGATCTAATCAACGAACAATGAATTATAGTCATACAACAATTGAATTAAATTTTACTGATCTAAAATCAATCATCAAATTCGCAAAATCGTAGTTTCTTGTAACCCCCGCAGCATTTGGCCGTCTGTTTTCAAGCCTTGAAACCAGCGTGCGGTTCACCAGCCGAGACGCCAGCACTTCATTGACGTCCTTGGCCATCTCCAGGGTGCGGACGAAGGGAATCATGATCTCCACATTCTTCAGACCCATCTCTCCACGGACCATCTTCACAGCCTGATGCTCTGATCAACGAACTTTTGGGGGGTCAACTTGGGGTTAGCCATGGAATCCGATGGAACATGGTGGAACTGTATTTTGGTGGTGGGCACATGAGATTGCCCACAAGAATTAGATGGAAAAACATGGGAAAACATGGAAAAACAACAAACCCTTCAAGAGTCCTCAAGGCCTTTCAGGCGCTTCGAAGAAACGATTTCTTTTCGGATTTCCCAAGCTTTCAAATACCATCCATGACCATCCAACAAAACCTGGCCCTTTCTGAAATTAAAGTTGGAACAATCTTTACCACAGAGAGGGGGTACGAGAACTAAGAGCAAAATAACTGCGGAGACAGTTGCGCCTTTCAGATCCTTTCAGTATCTTTCAGTGGTGGCACAAGTGAAAAGGAATTTTATGAAATAGTTCAGATGCTGTTTGTCACCTGAAGTGAATTATATAGTTGGTCAAATTACATGTCACCAAGTCATCGGATTGATTCATTTTGCTCGGAAACTTTGGCAGAAACCGGTGAGGGACCAGCGCAGTCTCCTCAGACTCAGAAGCAAGTGGCTTGGCCAACTGCCGTGCTGAATCAACTAGAATCTCAGGGTGAAAAGTCGATAACTTTTTCATCACCTACTGGCAGCATGTCTACTTCCACTTCAGTGTAAGCATAGCCCTTCCGTTCAAGCCATGTTACTTCGGCCTTCTGTGAAATCCCAAGACCTTCAGATGCCTCCATGAAGTGGCGTTCTTCCTCTGGAAGCCACGCCAAAAAGAGCCGCTGTACCTCCCGCGAATACTGAGAGGACGAGTCTCCAAATGGCTCTTTCGAAAGGCCTTCAATTCCTCCGTCACATGCATCGGAGAATGCTTGCGACCGGAGGAAATGCCGTTTCTTGCCTTGAATGGCTTCTCACCTCAAGTGCTCTTCAACAGCCGTTGAGAAATCCTCAACCTTACCTCCACCCTTCATGCCTTTGAAGAAATACACCTCCATTTCAGCGCCTTCCCTGCGTGCACTTTCGATGTTTGCTATCCACTTTGTCCACCAGCGGCAACCCCACGGCTTCTGCTCCCCATAAAGCGGAACGCACCAGCAGCGGCCCTGTAGCTTTTCCCCTTTGGGGATAGCGTCGTGGCTGCCGAAATGCTCTGAACCCTCTGGGAGAAAGACCACCGCTGCGCTGATGTCGCCACTGCGGCTGCCTGTGACCAGGGCGTCCCAAGCAGACTCGTACTTGCCTGGCCATGAGCAAACACATTTGCCGGTGCCTGGAAGAACTTTGCCTTCGAACACGATGGTCCGATTGGTGGCCCTGTCGTTGAATAACAGCTTCACAAATCTTCGAAAACTCGCCTGATGAAAAGCAGCTTTACACCTGATAGCAGAAAAGCTACAGCAGGCAAAGCCAGCTGTCACAACGGCCCACCAGAATCCAGCCATATGAACTTCCCAATGGCTATGGTTGCAGCAAGGCCACCCAGGACGTAACAGCCGATACTGCACTGATATGTCGACTTTTTCGTTAGTGAACCTGGACAGGCATTACCAGTAAGTTGAAAATCGATAGTACCAGCAGGCCCACCAAGCACAGTGCCATGATGAAGAAAAAAATACGGGAACCAATAATATAAGAAACATCTGCATTCTTTTCAAGTTCCTCTTCCATCTTCCTTTTCCGTTCCTGCAGCAAAAACTTCTCTCGTTCCACCTCCTGCTGCTCCTTTTGCAAGAAATCTGCGACCTCAATGCCGAAAGACCCGAAACTCTCCGATGCACCAAGGGTCAAGCCGTCTTCAACGCGCCGAGTCCCAAAAATGCTGGGGTCATCCCTGCAGTGAACCTTCATCAGCTTGTCAGATGCTCGGGTGACGTCGACGCTGCAACTTTTCTGCGGGTAGAGCACCTTTACCTCTTGGTCCAACGTCACCTGGCATTGTCTGAAAATAGGGTACCCATAAATTTCCATCATAAATCCATTGGCATTCCATGGGTTATCATCATCTTACCCCATTTTCCACACCTCAATAGCTGCTCCCAGGTTGTTCTCCAACACCACCATCCCATCGCCAGGGCCATCCGTAGGCTCTACGGCATCTGGCGCATCATCTTCATGGCATTCATCCGGCACTGGGACCACAGGTAATCCCATGGCAGTGTGGAAGGAACCGATGATATCTTGCTCAGTGGCAATGAACTGAAAAACTCTGAAAAAAAAACTTAGTCTGTTAAACTTATCCAGATTTCATGTCCCGTTTCTGTCAAATCTGTGTCCTTCGGCCTGTGACTCAATGTGTGTGTGTGTGTCCACGCCTGTCTCTAAGGTTTTCACGTTTTTATTCTGCAGGGGTGGCTGAAAGCCAAAAGGACCTTGAGTCTTTGAATGGCGAAGTCAGCGAAATGGAGAAGCAAGTTCAGCTTGCAGGTGAATCTAGAAAGAAGGAAAATGACAAGTTTTCACGTTTTTATTTTGCAGGGGGCGCAAGAACCTTTGGTGCGTCTTGCGCCAACGAAGACACTCACCATTGGTTGTGTAAACGTACCTGCAGGCACGCCATGGGCACCGTCGTGTGCAGCTTGGGTGCCAACACGAACATCAATTTTTTAACCCGGTAAGCTTAGCTCACAGACTAAGCGATGCCTTTGATGCCATTACAAATGGACAACAGACACTAAAGAACGAAATGTCAAACATGACTTCTCAAGTGTGTTCTCGGCGGAGAGATCTGTCACAGTCCCGTCGTGGGATTCCAGGCCTCTTGAAAGTTCCTATTTGAAACCAGTATTTGAAACGCCATGTCTATGGCTCAAGAAAATGACATAGCCGGTGCTCCGGCTTGGAGACATTTCATGTGTTAGAACCCTGTTTTCGGACAGGCCTTCCGAAGTTTACTTCATTGCTTTGAGATGAAACCAGCACTTGAAACCTGCATTTGAATTTCGAACTTGCTGAAACATGATCCTTGGATCATATGAAACGACCAAGTTCCTGGATGTGTCTCTGTGTGCCATTTTGGCTCAAGCAAAAGTTCGCTCTGCAGTTTCCTGGCTTCGTGCCTTCGTGTGTGTGCCCACGCCTGTCTCTAAGGTTTTCACGTTTTTATTCTGCAGGGGTGGCTGAAAGCCAAAAGGACCTTGAGTCTTTGAATGGCGAAGTCAGCGAAATGGAGAAGCAAGTTCAGCTTGCAGGTGAATCTAGAAAGAAGGAAAATGACAAGTTTTCACGTTTTTATTTTGCAGGGGGCGCAAGAACCTTTGGTGCGGCTTGCGCCAACGAAGACACTCACCATTGGTTGTGTAAACGTACCTGCAGGCACGCCATGGGCACCGTCGTGTGCAGCTTGGGTGCCAACACGAACATCAATGTTTTAACCCGGTAAGCTTAGCTCACAGACTAAGCGATGCCTTTGATGCCATTACAAATGGACAACAGACACTAAAGAACGAAATGTCAAACATGACTTCTCAAGTGTGTGCAACCTACACCCTACCCCAAAACCAGAGTACGAGTGAAATCCGAGCTTTTTCAGGTTAGGAGTCAAAAGTTGTATGGACCATGTTGCTGAACAAATGAAACTGGAATCATGATGTGACATTGACATGATCTGCAAACAGCATTTTTTTGGACTCACTTTGGACTCACTTTGGACTCACTTTGGACTCACCTGGACTACCGCCTGATTGAAAAGTATGCTGCGGGGATTCCATGGGATTCCCAATTCCAATGGGTTATCATCACTTTCCCTTCCGCAGACATCCTGAAAAAAAGGCGAAGATCAACTGAACGAAGCTCCGCTCTGATACACGGCGACTGTCAAACTTGTCGAAGGGACGCGAGTTCAACTGGTGCAACTAAAGCTGTGGTTATTCGAAATGATATGAGCTCAAGCCACTGGGTGGGGTTCACATCAGACCATGTTAAAATTTCAGGAAAGACAAGTGGACTGCAGGAATGCCCAGGCTGATTTGAATAGCCATCATGGCCATTTGGGGATCTCATCCCATGGACTGGTTGGTAATTTTTCGTGGTCTTCCATGATATTCCTATGGAAAACCAAGGACAGCCACTATTTACCACTGAAAAAATGACTCCCTAAATCAACCAATCCACAGAGGTTATAGTGTTCCCGGCATGATGTTGTCATCTTAACGGCAACGGAACCAGTGCGTTGCCGCACCTCCAACTCCATGGCGAAGCATTCCTCGAAGAAGGGATCCGTGTAACGTCCGCAGCCGCGGAAACCGATCATGGGATTCTCCTCATCGGGCTCGTACTGCTCGCCACCAATCAAGCTCTTGTACCTAGAAAAATGGAAAAGACATGGAAAAAGTAAAAAATCTGAGATGGTTCTTGGCCTCTTAAGATAGTAAAATCTTGGCATTTCTTTGGCAGTGGTTTGATGTTTGACTGTATCTTTACAAACAAAAGATCCGGGACATCAATCCTGGCGTTTGGAATCCATAATTTAACATCAATCAATCACAATCAGCCATAATTTGCCCATGTTTGCTCCATTTATTGCATCCTCCCAGCCAGAGTTCCCAGTGCCAGGCTGCTCGTTGGACTTGAAGTCGGACAATCGCACGATGATGCGCTTGGGATACACCGAAGCTGCCAAGGTGGCCACGCCCTCTGCGATCTTCTTCACGTAGAAGTCCTGAGAGGATGTTTGTCCTGAATGAATCCATGTTTTTTCAGTTTTGGGTGAAAACAAACCACAACGAAAACGGATCTAAACCGCGGCGTATTAAATCCTATCTGGTAATTTGTTACAGTTTGCTTTTGAAAATGGCCCAATCGAAATAGTTGATTTACCAAAAAAAACATCATGATGGATTCCACTTCGCTATGTAAACCTTCGTTTACGAGAGGCTAAGTTTGACCCCAAGGGCGTGTTTGTGTTGGGAGTTGGTCCGTCCTTGGGATCTTTGTAGCCCTTCATGCGTTCATCCACCAGCTCCTTGGTCTCGCCATCCAAGGTGTCGTAGTTCAGCAGCGCCTGCCACAAAAAGGCGCCGCAAAACACGGATGATTCTGGCAAAAAAACAGATATGCGTATGTATTATATCCTATATATATATCACATATATATATATATAAATAATATTTTATATATATATAGTATATACATGGGCCAAATGGGTTCAATGCTCAAATTTCATTATTGATCATTGTTGCTAGATATTGCATTGATGACCTTATCCAAACTCTGTGCAATGGCGAAACTTGGTTTCTCCCCACCTGCCAGGTGAGGGTTGTTGGATTTTATCAGAGCTGTTCTCTTCCTCCTCGACTAGCTCTCCTCCTCCTTGTCCTCCTCCTTCTCCTCCTCCTCCGCCTCCTCCGCCTCCTCCTCCAGTTTCTCCTCGACCATGTCTGCATCAACTTCCACCTCTACTTCCGCCTTGCCAACTCTTCGCCAAGCTCTTCGCCAACTTCCGAGCTCAGTGCGCACTGCTGGACCTCAACCTGGGACCTTTCCAGCTCAGTGTGCACCGCTGGACCTCAACCTGGGACCTTTCCAGCTCAGTGTGCACCGCTGGACCTCAACCTGGGACCTTCCCAGCTCAGTGTGCACCGCTGAACCTCAACCTGAGACTTCCCCAGCTCAGTGTGCACCGCTGGACCTCGACGGCCAGATAGAATGCCAGAAGATATGCCAGATAGAGTGTTAGAAGATATGTCAGATAGAATGCCAGAAGATATGCCAGATAGAATGCCAGAAGGTATGCCAGAGAGAATGCTAGATAAAATGTCAGATAGAATGTCATGAGATATGCCAGATAGAATGCCAGAAGATATGCCAGATAAAATGTCAGATAGAATGCCAGAAGATATGCCAGATAAAGTGCCAGAATGTTTGCCAGATAGAATGCCAGAAGATTTGAGTAGATTAAATGCCAGAAGATATGCCAGATAGAATGCCAGAAGGTATGCCAGATAAAATGTCAGATAGAATGCCAGAAGATATGCCAGATAAAGTGCCAGAATGTTTGCCAGATAGAATGCCAGAAGATTTGAGTAGATAATATGCCAGAAGATATGCCAGATAGAATGCCAGAAGATATGCCAGGTAGAATGCCAGATAGAATGCCAGAAGATATGTCAGATAGAATGCCAGAAGATGCCAGAAGATTTGCCAGTAACAAAATGTATAAATGTCATGGTGGGGATCACACGAAGTAAAGTAATTGTTGCCAGGGGCCACTTTTCCCACCTAAAGCTCGGGCTTTTCTCGATCAACGGACTCGTGGAGTTGAGTTTAATACATTTTACCATTGTTTGCCATTGTTTACCATTGTTTACCATTGTGTACCATTGTTTACCATTGTTTACCATTGTTTACCTTGAAATCAGCTTGAATGTTTGTCACTGTCATCTTACATCCCATCAATCTCCATCTGCAAGAAATCAGCACCCCCACAGCTGACCGCAACGCACAGGTGGCCTTGGGGTGAACGCCGATGGCATTGTTGATGACCTCAGTGCAATATTCGTCGTCCAGCTAAGGAATCTCCAAGTTCCATAGGCAGATCATCTAGAAATCTGGACATATTGGTGATATAATTGGATATCAAATATCATTGAGAGAGAGAGAGAGAGTACTTTGTGCACCTTCATATTACAAGCAGCAGGCTAGCAAGCTTCTTGGAATGCCTGGTAAATATATTGTAATTGGAGATGTTACATGGCAACCTACCATGGATTGTCAGTTTGGAAGCTTCGAATTTCAATTTGCGAACCTTGGTCTTTTCTGAGCCCAAGAGTGGCTGATCTCGACCCACCATCGCCAGGTGTTGGGTTCAAGAAACGAACTCCAAGCGCGCCAAGCCGATTCCTTCGTTGGGCAACTGACCGAAGGAGAAGGCGGTCTCCGGGTTGCCGACGTTCATCATGATCCTTGGAGACACGTTTTGCGGCAACCGGAAAATCCGCTGTTCATGGATATTCCGACATTCATGCATCATGATCTTCATGGATTTTCATGGATGTTAATTAGATCACAAAGAGAAAACTCTTAAAAACCCTCCTGATTGGAGGAAACACATAGATTCACCCACCATCGAAGAACAAACCGTTGAAGAAGTTCTGAAAAACTTAATTGCTTCTGGCCACATATTTGTGTGTGTGGGTCAAAATCAAAGACCACCAAACAATATATGTACCAACGTCAAAAGATGGTACAGTATAATCTGCATAGAATCAGTCCCAAATCCCGAACAAAACCGTGGATTTATATGGGATTTATGACATTTCATGACCATCCAACTAACATAACCTAACCAACTATGCAAAAAAACAGCTATCTCCAACCATCCCTCCCAAATATGGGGGCCATCCAAGCAGCTTGAGGCCGACCTCAGGTAGCTCTCCCAGATCCTGGACCTTCTTCCTCGGAACTTCCACGGAATGTCGGCTGAATCACCAGTGAATCCAGTGGATTTCAGTATATTTAAGTGGATCCAATAGGTGAAATCCTGGAAATTTGGGGGAAATCTCACCTAATCTAAGATCTAATAGGGGAAACCCTCGGAAATCCTGCAAAAAATGGGGGGAATCTCAGCATATGATCTTCTGATGCTTGATCATCATTTAATCGTAGTGATTAGGCGAAAACAATGGGATATACCTTTTTTTTTCACTCAGGTCTGGCCGTCAGTGCACAAAGGCACGGTCCTTTTTTTTCGGCGAAAACCATGGGATATACCGGTATTCCATTTTTATCACAAAGCCAACTGGAGGAAACAGGCTTTTTTCAAGGTGAGATCTGCTAACAATAAACGTCCATGGAGGATTGAGAGAGCCCCATCATCGCATAAAGTGAATCATCCCATGATCCCCAAGCTGGTGCCATCTGGTGCCCCAAGCTGGTGCCGAGCATCTCAAACTTCAACTCGCCCTTGTAGATGAAACCAGTGTCACCCTCTGCGCATGACACTGTAACTTTGTCACCTGCCAAGTGGGATCAGGATGGATAAGAAACCTGCTGAAATCAAGAAGATGGCATGTCAATTTTTATTCGCCAACCTCATCCCCGCTGGAGAATGTCCTCATTGCTGCTTGGAAGTATCTAGGTTCATCATTCAAGACCATTTTCATGCTTGAGGCCTGCATCTTGATCGATATGTAGCCGGTTCAATCGTCCAGATTTTGTTGGTGAAATCAACATGTTGGCTGGTCCGATGTCCATTTTATGTCAAATCCACCTTGTTGGCTGGATTTTAGTGTTTCAACCATTTTGCTGGTCAAATCCACAAGATTCGCTCGT